ATTATTTGGAAATAATAAAAGTCTAGATTTGAAGACCTCTTTACATCTGTTTGCCCCCACCGGGTCCTCCACTGGCAGAGCCATAACTAAGGTTGTGATTAAAAATATAATCAATTAATCATATATTTAAGTAGCAGATATGTTTGATATTGAATACGTTATATTAATCTGCTCAGCTGTAACCCTTAAGCTTGTTAAAATTTGCAAGAGTGTGGTATTTTCAGCAACACTGGAGTGAGGATGATACGTGACTTTGCTGGGAATAGAAAGAGGAACCTGGAGTAAGGTGCCCGAGGTTAGTGTCGGAGAAAGAAACCACAAGCGATAACCACGTGAGAAGTTCAAAGATGCATTAAGAAAATGGACTATTAAATGTGTCTGAGTTTTGTTTTTGTTTTTTGCCTTTGGGACTTCCTGAGACCTAAAATGCACTACTGTCGAAATACCATTCCATGATCATTGTCTTTATATAAAGAAACCTGTTGAAGAACAGCTTTGTTGTTGATACTTTCAAATTTTCTAACAGGGTGAGATGACTTAATGCATCTTTGAACTTCTCCTTTTGTGGTTAATCTGTGACTCAAGGTACTGAAATTTAGAGAGTGCAGAAATTTACTGGTGGGAGTGTGCAAACCCAACCTTTGGCATTTGCTGCAGGAGGGACATGAATGCACCTGCCCCAAGGACGCATACCAACCCCAGTGGCTTTTCCTTGGGCAGAAGGAAACAGAATAGGCAGGATCAGCATGGCACCAATGTGGCGGTCATGCACCCAGGTTTTCCTTCCTGTCCTCTCCCTGTGTATGTTGGTTTCACATGACCCAAGTTTAGAGACTAGTGCAATGACTCGCAGGGCACCAAAACTGATAGTTACAGCTATGCCCAGAGGCTCCTCCCTCCATGAAACCCAAGTGTGGCTGAAAGCCCCTTTCCAGTGTTGCAAAACCCCTTTGATGGCAAAACAAGGCACACTCTTAAGGAGAACTGTAGTTCCTAGAGACTTCCAGGATCAGCAGGTATTGTTGTTGGTTGATGTTTTGCAGCAAGTCGTGAGGGTCCAAGAGGTGCTCAAGTGGCAGAAGTTAGCAAGGGGAAGAAGCCACATGTGGTCTTTGGACTACATAATTCACTGTATAGACTGCAGCCTTCATTGTGTCATAGTGGAAAAGGTGCATAATGTTGCACCATCTCATAATGGGAGAACATAGCCGTAGCATCCCATCCGTTTGCAGAAATTATGCAGAATGAGCAACTACAGGAGACGTTTACCAGGTTGAAGCATTTCAGTTTCTCAAGTGGATGCAGCATGCCAGGGCACCATAGATCTATGTCTGGATAGAGAAGCCAGTTGCCTAAATGCAGAACTTGGGGTGGGTGAGGGGAATCAATGTTTAGAGAACATGCTGGCTAGGGATCTGAGGAACTGTTGCTCAAAAAGTAACTTTTCTCTGCACTTATCTAGAGAAGCACACCTGTGAAGGGTTGTGTCAGGGAAGCACCTTTTAAGCTTTCAGAATCAGACCCTTTCCCCACTTCGCCTTCTGTGTGATGGGTGAATTTCCATATTTAAACATCTGTTCTGCCCTAACAAATCTATTTTTTTCTGGAAATTGCATCAATTCAGAGTGAGACTACATGTTCCATGGAATATTAAGGTACATGTACCTGAAATTGCAACACTTTAGAATGTGGGTGGGACACCCCACATGACCAAATAGTCTTACTGATATTAAATAATGAAATTGTTTCTTTCCTTCCTTTTATTGACAGATGAGAAATTCATACTTAATCCTGGATGAATATGTAAGTCTTTTTCTTTTGTTATTTTGTTTACCTCATAGTCAAACTTCAAGAATACTTTCCAGCTAAGAAGCAGGGGTTTATTTTCTCGCTTTGTCTTAGAAAAATAGACAAAAATATCTGCACATGTTTGAAATTGTGACCTACTGGAATAATTGAACTTATTTCTGAGTCCATATTAAATAATGTTAGTATGGTTAACAAAACAAAGGCCAAAATAATTTTTATACCTAACGCAAATGTCATAAATGTTGATAGTGCATTGCTGTAAGTCAGAAAGGCAGTGTAGATGTTATTTGTTGTACACTGAATCTCACAAGTCAATACGCAGCACGTAATGTCTACGTTAACTTCATAACTTGAGGCAATTTGCCTCCAGAGATTACACTGCTGGCATTATGTCAGCATTAAATGCACAAGATGATTTTGGCCATTGTGAGGTTCCAGAGGCCAGCCTGCATAAAAGAAACCCTCCCTTCTCATGCAGTCCTGTTCATATCTGCTCAGAAGTAAGTCTACTGGGTTCAGTGGAGTTTACTCCCAGGTGTGACAAACTGCAATCAAAATGTGGCACACATCACTACAAGAACAAAAGAGAGAGAGAGAGAAGGAATAATACTTTTGGTAACATGACATATCTGTGTTTGATTGTGTGTGTTTGAAAAAGTTACTTTTGGACTAAGTACAGTGGTGCCTCGCAAGATGATTTTAATTCATTCTATGGAAATCGTCTTGTGAAAACATCTTGCAAAACCCAGTTCCCCATTGAAATGCATTGAAATCCATTTAATGCATTACAATTGGGGGGGAAAATAACTGTCTTGCAAAAATTGTCCATAGAAGACATCATTTTGCAAAACACAGTTCCCCATACCATCTTGGGGAAAAGCAATCCCCTCACCTGCTCTACCTTTGGAAATTCAATGGCTCTTATGTAACCTTCCATCTCTTTCTCTCTCCAGCAACAAAGAGGGTAAAAGGAGTCAAACCTCCTTCTGTCCCCTAACCCCCCAAGGCATGGACCCCCTGGCTGCACCTCCCACTCAGTACAGGGCTGCACAGCCCCATTGTGAGGTTCCAGAGGCCAGCCTGCATAAAAGAACCCCTCCCTTCTCATGCGGCCCTGTTCATATCTGCTCAGAAGTAAGTCCTACTGGGTTCAATGGAGTTTACTCCCAGGTGACAAACAGCAATCAAAACATGGCCCACATCAATACAAGAACAAAAGAGAGAGAGAAGAAATAATGCATTGAAATCTATTTAATGTAATTTGGGGGGGGGGGAAACTAGCTTGCAAAAATTGTCCATAGAAGACATCACGCCAGGCTAAGTCGTTTCTAGCTTTCAGGAAATGGGTGAAAATAATATTGTTTGAAGACACCTTTGGAAACATCTTACCCCTATGACATGCTCATGGTTCCTTGTACTGGTTATTGTTTGATTTGCAGTCCAGGTTTATTTTCCTTTGAATATTTGGAGTTTAATGCTTTTCTGGCTCTCACTATTTGTGCCTTGTGAGTGGGGATATGTAACTGTACAGTGGTGCTTCGCTAGACCATTGCCTCACAAAACCTTATGCTAATTGTGGAGGAACACCTAGCATTAGCTAGGTGTTCTCCCCACAATCCTCTAGTGCACAGGTATTAGCATATGCCAATACCTTATGCTAATACCTATGCACTAGAGGATTGTGGGAGGAACACAGCCCCTGATGGGGGTCCCACAGGGCACCCCAAAACACTGAGGAGCTCTCTTGGCCTCTGGCAGGACTGGGGCTGTGCAGCCCTGTACTGAGTGGGAGGTGCAGCCAGGGGGTCACCATGACTTGGGGGGTTAGGGGACAGAAGGGGGTAGGAGATGCAAGGCCCATTCCAACTCATACCTTCTATGGGGAAATACCATGTTTTAAAAGTGTTTTTTTTTTTTAAGTGGGAAGGCTTATCCATTCTACTTTGGGTGTGCTGTTGATGATCCCTGTGATTTCCCCAAATGTAGGGGAGCTCAACTACATAATTTGTGTTAAGGGGGGCATTATGTTTGTGATTTCTGTTTTGTTGATGTTTTTTTCTAATTTCTTTACCCCTTGGTTCATTGCTGCTTTCACCATCCTCTACTGTTTAAATTTACAGTCATAGCCCCATTGCTGATGTTTTGCAAGATGGTTTTCCCCCATTGAAACACATTAATTACATAAGACCTACTTTTTTATCCCAAAAAAGTGGGGAAGAAAGTGTATGTTGCTTAAAAACTGTCTTGCGAGGCAAGGACCCAAACATTATCCAGCAAAAATTGTCCATAGGAACAATCATTTTGTGAAGCACATTGCTCAAAAATGTCATCGTCTAGCGAATTCCAGGCACCACTGTAACTTCAGAATTTAAAAATGTAACCTTTCTAAGCACAGATACACTATCATACATTTTCTGGGGTAAGGTGAAGCACCAAGAAGTCCTATGAGAACCAAGCTTAAATGGGAACTTTTTAATGTATCTTGTTTGGAAATTTTCTTCTCTTTTCCTTTCCCAGATGCGTTTTCTGAACTGTGTAAATGGCCGAAAAGAGCCTTCACGATCTATCTTGGACGTGGGTGTAGAAGATGCTATACAATTTAGCGGATTTGATGAAAAGATGTTTTTCAAGCGAGGTGGAAAATATATTTGGAGCAAAGCAGACATGGCACTGGAATGGTGACCAAACAGGGTTTTTAAAAACTCTTCAGGGAAAGACACTGAAGATTTTTAAAAGAAATGTTTTATGGACATACAGCATGCGCTTATGTTAGGCAAAACAGTATGCGTATATTTGCTCACAAATACATATTTAAATAAAGGGTTGCACCAGCATTGTACACAAAGTATGTCAGCTGGCACAAAAGCTCTACCTGGAGGACAGGCAAGAGAAGTCACACAGTCAGTCACACCATGTTTCAAGGTTGTGGAGATGAACGTTCCATCATAAACCAGCAATGTCAACCTCCATGAGACTTAATTAGAACACGAAGAGTAAAAGAGTTGGAAGTTCTTGATGAGGACGCAAGTGCTTTGCTATTTCTTTATATCCAAGGTGGCAATCGTTATAAATCCAAGGCTAAGATGGTGGGTTGCTAAGTAGATGTAGACATCATAGAGCTGTATTGGACTGTAAAGAAAGGGGGGAGGAGCCTCTTTGACTAATACTGTGAATAAAGTGCATAATTGTAAAAACAAACAAACAGCCCCTCACCTCCCATAGCCAGTGGTCTAGCAATGGCTGTTAAAGCTGTAGAACAACTCCTCCTGATACCAGATGGAGCAAAGGCTCGGATTCAAGCTGCTTTTAAAAAAATGACTGTTTATCAAAATTGTTTTTAATTATATTGTTATATTTTGTTGTAAGCCGCCTAGAGTGGTCTTAATTAACTAGATAGGCCGGATATAAAATAAATAAATAAATAAAAATAAATAAATCATTTATTCCATTTGATAAATCAGCAGCTTGACCTATTAACTAAGGCTGTGCTCAAGTTTCTCTTCAGATTTTAGTTGATTCCTACTTAGCTGATTCATTCTAACATACTTCAAAGACCCCCTCAAGTTTGTTTACTCAGGATGCTGTTTCTTGGTATTATTAATGTATTTGGTGTGTGGTAAAACAGTGTTTTATTTTCCATTTTGGAGCATACTAAGCAAGAAGCTGTATTTCTGTGTGCCCTGACATAAGGGCATGTCCCATTGCGTTCCCTGGAACATACATATGCATAAACATGCGTAGAATCAGTCAGCAATTTCTGCATGTGCATCTTTTAAGAAAATACTGGTTTCTCCTTTTTTAACTACTAGGCCAGACCATTTTGTACAGTGGGAGTACAGTATGTGTATGTTTTCATTTTAAATGCAAATAAATATATTTGATAAGGCTAGAAATAAAAATTAAAAATAATTTTAAAGGCTGTGAAAAACTCTTTTTTTCTTTTACGAAGTTTTGAAAACAGAAGCCTCGGCTTTCCAACATGGAAAGTTTTCCAATGGAAGCCTTGGCTTTTCAACATTGGGCCTTCCTCTGTAGAAGGGGTGGCGACCATCTGCTCCTCCAACTGCCATCATCTCTCATCCCAGTCTGCGCTTTCTAAAACCAAGGAGAGCGGTAGTCCAACGGAGTTCGGGAGGCAACAGGTTTATCCACCTGGGTTCTCCAAAACTCCTTGTGGTTTTGTGGCTAGTGTTGCTGTGTTTGTAGAGAAAGCCACCCTTACTATACCTGCTCGTGACTTCTTCTTTTGATCTTTAGGGCCAAATGTCACTGCATCTTCACAGGTGGACTCTTTCATCCTTCATTTGTCTGCATGAGGCCTAAAGATCAATCCTGCATGAAGAGAAGCAAATCACTTCATGCTGTGTGGAACTAGAGGTTACAAAGGAAATTGTGTTTCTTTTATCCTGTTAAAGGGAGGGGTGCATGTTTACAGGAGAGGATCAGTGGGTGGGATGGGGCTGTTAAAGGAGCCTTGTGGCACAGTACTTCAACTATAGTACTGCAGCTAAGACTCTGCTCATGACCTCTGTTTAATCCTGATGGGCTCAGGTGGCCAGCTGAAGGTTGATTCCGTGTTCTATCCTTCCGAGGTCAGTAAATTGAGTACCGAGTTTGCTGGGTGGAGCAAGGCGTTACCTGTATAATTAAATTGTAAACAGCCCAGGGAGTGCTTTAAGCTCAACAGGGCCGTATATATAAGCAGTACACTTTGCTTTTTGCCTTTGCAAAACCCAGTTCAAATCTCCCCCTGCAAATGTTGTTTACAAAGTCCCCACTCCCCATGGCAGCTGCTGGCAATACTAGCCTCAGAAGTGGATCATTAGGCATAATAGGAGGGTGCTCCTCCTCCCTTTGCTACTCCACTCTGTACGTGCCCTTTGCCACTGTATTCCTATTCTATTGACAAATAGTTTAAATATGCACTTGCCAAAACAATACAGATCTAATAATAGCACTATTCATTGTAGCAGGGAAAGGGGGAAATATTTCAAATGATAAGTGAAACAAACAAGTCCTTTAATTGCAATCCTGTGATTTGACAAGTTGCAGTCAAAAAGGCTGCCGGCTGCCTCCAGTATCTCAAAAAATAGTGAGGGATTACTGTACCCATGTCCTGCTTGTGAGCTTTTTAAAACATCCCTTTTGCTGAAAGAATGCTGGAATAAATTGTCTTTTGGTCTGGTGCAGATGGCCTTGTATGTACTGAAGGCAGCAATTTAATTTTGCCCTCTCAGCAACAACAGATGGTCACATTTGCAAAACGTCTTTGAAGGGAGAGCTATGATGGCCATTGCCTTTTAACTTGGCCAGAAATAAATTTAGACCAAAGCCACAGTATCTATGTAAGGATACAATATTGTACACCACTGGTGTACCAAATACAGAAACACATTCTGAATTGCAGTTCTCTTAATCTCTATTTTTACTGCTATAACCGTAATCATATACAACTCCAGTGGGATCAATTTGTCCAGAATTTTTCCCTCTTGATATGTACTGTATATAGATTTTTTTTACAGTCATTCACCCATCCCCTGGTCTCTTCAAAACATTTAAAATTCCACAGAAACAATTAGAAGGCTTGCTTCTATAGTACCGTAGTAACATCTGCCCTGTCTTTACCTATGCCTAAATAAAGTCTTGTCAGCCTAAACTACACATCTTTCATTATGTATCCATCGCTTGATGTCTTGGAACCAAGAAGCCATCAAGGGACTGAGGCTGTGCCTGGCCTCCAACAGCGGTCATGAAACTTTGGGGACTTTAATAGAAGCATATTATTTTGGAATTGCCCATGCAACCTTGGTGCAGAGCCTGAGGAAGGTGAATTATTAAAAGCTTGCTCCATTTTCTGTTTTATTTTCTTAATGATCCGGTAAAGGTATCACCTATCCTTGCATCTCTATTGTTTTGAGGACCATACGGCCTTCTCCTGACTTTTTCTGTAGGAAATGTTTCGGTACGACAACTGATGCTACTCCAGCAGTGCAAGCCCTGCTTATGAGTCAACAGCAAGTTGAAAAGTGCTGGAGCAAGAATACAGGCCCTGCTTATGAGTCAACAGTGTGCTTGACCGCTGCAGGGCCAGCACAACCTCCCTGGATCCTTGCCCATCCTGGCTCATAAAAGCAGCCAGGCCATTAACAGAGTGGGCTACGGCTAGTATTAATGGGTCTCTCCTTGAAGGCAGGATTCCCCATGCCCTCAAGGAGATGCTCATTAGGCAGGCCGTTAACAACAGAGTGGGCTACGGCTACTATTAATGGGTCTCTCCTTGAAGGCAGGATTCCCCATGCCCTCAAGGAGATGCTCATTAGGCCAATTCATAAAAAAACCCAACTTGGTGATGGATGATATTAACAACTATAGACCTGTCACCAATGTCCCATTTCTTAGCAAGCTAGTGGAGAGAGTGCTGGCTGACCAGCTACAGGCACTTCTGGAGGAAACGGATGCTCTCAGTCCATTCCAGCCCAGGTTCAGGCCATGCCATGCCATTGGCCACCCTGCAAGATGACCTTATGAGGGAGTCTGATAAGGGCAAAATATCCTTGTTGGTCGTCCTTGACTATCAGCAACTTTCGATGCCACCAACCACGGTATCCTCCTGGGAGTGGTCTCTGGGTTGGGGATTGGTGACCTGGCTTTGGCCTGGCTCTGGTATCCTTGACTATCAGCAGCTTTTGATACCACCAACCACGGTATCCTCCTGGGAATGGTCTCTGGGTTGGGGATTGGTGACCTGGCTTTGGCCTGGCTCTGGTCCTTCCTACAGGACCGTGCCCAGAGAGTACAGCTTGGGGAGATGATGCTTACCTTTGGACACTCAATTGTGGATCATCTCCCCAGTGCTGTTTAATATAGGACTGCTGGGGAGCTCTGGAGCTTCGCGCTGCCAATATGCAGATGACACCCAGCTCTATCTCTCCTTCCATCCTTCTGCAGAGGATTTCAGCCTGTCCCTTGAGCGCTGCCTGGATGCCGTGCTGGGGTGCATGAGGGATAATAGACTGAGGCTGAACCTGGAGAAGACGGAAATCCTACGGGTGCATGCCCTTAGTGTTTGTGGTCTGGGGGCTTCGCTCTCTTTTTGGGGGGCACTCTTTCTACTAAGGATGAGGTTCGTAGCTTGGTTGTGCTTTTGGACCCACCACTATCAATGGAATCTCAGATAGTGTTTGTGGCCCACTCTGCCTATTTCTACCTAAGGCGGATTGCCCAGCTGCACCCCTACCTTAACACCGGGTCCCTCACCATGCTGGTTCATGTGCTCGTAGTCTCAAGATTAGACTACTGTAATGCTCTCTGCCCGTGGGGCTGTTACGGAGATTTCAGCAGGTTCAGAACACGGCAGCCAGATTATTGAGTGGAGTAAAGAGGTATCAACACATTTCCCCTACTCTGGCTGCCCTGCACTGGCTACCTGTTTCTTTGCCAGCTTTAAAGTGATGGTGTTACCCTATAAGGCCCTAAACAGTTTAGGATCCCGATATCTGGCAGAACACCTCCTTCCAACTAGATCTGCCCATCCTCTATGATCCTCCCAGGCCAGGCAGTTGAGAGTTCTGACCCCGAGAGAATCTGGAAAGCGACAACTAGAAACCGGGCTGTGTTGGTGGTCGCCCTGTAACTTTGGGGCCCCAAATCCACCTTCAGTGGGAACCTTTAAGAAATTACTAAAAGCATGGTTGTTCAGACAGGCCTTTCCAAGACTATAAAACGTCTTAATACAATGGTGTTTTTAACAATTGGACCTTCAAATCATTCACCGTGTTTTTTAAAATTACTTTATTTTATTATGTTGTTGTATTTTTATCTTTAATTTTGACTTTAGATTATTTCTTGTTATTCTTGTTTTATGATTTTGCTGAATTTGTTAAATGTCCAGAGTGGCCTTGGTAGCCAGATGGGCAGTATGTATGTATGTACCGTATTTTTCTGTTTATGACTCAAAGATGACCCCTCCCTTTTCTAACCCCACCCCAAATTAGAAAATTTGATCCCTGCTTTTCCCTGCCTTTTGTGAAGCCATGGAGCTTAACAAAAGGAACGGAAAGGGGGATGGTCAAAGGGCTCCAGCAGCGGAGGCAGCAGCAGCAGGAGGCAGAGACTGAGGCAAAGAAGCAGCCCAGCTTGGCCGCCTCTCCCTGCTGCCCATTGAGTGTTGCCGCCGCTGCCCAATTGCAAGGAGATGATCGCTGGAGGGGGCCGCAGTAGTCAATGGGCAGCAGCCAGAGGCTGCTGAGCCCGGCTGCTTCTTTGCCTCAGTCTCCGCCTCCTGCTGCTGCCTTCCCTGTATAAAACGACCCTCAATTGTTCCTCTAATTATTTTAGGGGAAAGATTCATTTTATACACGGAAAAATACG